GTACAAAAATCCGTGATGTTTTATTAGCGAACAGCTTCATTTTCAGTTCCGATCGTGTCGCAGCTGGACAGAATGAATTCTTTTGATTTAGTTTGACGGTTCTGGTGACATTCCGAGAAAGGAAAACGCAAATATTTTCTTTTTTGTCTTTTTTTTTCAGAAAACTCTCCCCCCCCCCCCATTCTTAAACAAACATTTGTTCATAGGAAAATCGCCTGCGTAAGAATATGCATTTTGTTCTAAGATTTCTTCTCTGGGACGCTTTTCGGCGATGAATGTTGGATGAATAAGCACAGAAGTTCAGAGAATTCGACTTGATTCAGGAAAAGAATTATTTTATTTGTCTGTTTATTTTGCACTAGTAAGATTTATGATGGAAATCGTTCAGTGGTCTGAATGAAAAGAAAGGAAGTGATGTAAAAGGAAACCGAGAAGTATTCGAATTAAAAAAAAACCGCAAAAGCTATAATTCGTTTTTATAGAATATGTGAATGTATTAAAGGCAAGTGATATATTATTTTCAAAATAAACATTATCTACATTACTATCTCGTTAAATTTTCTTTAAAAAATTAAAGTGATTTAGTGGTATAGGCATCGGATCGTGGCTAGCGTTTCATGAGTTCGATCCCAGTACCACTGAAGACCCACCGTGTAGGGGAGCGATGTACGTTAAATCTGTCGAGAGCTCAAGCGTCCTCCCGTTGGTGTGGTGTGGTAGTTAGGAGAGGGAGTGCCAGCTCAGGTGTCGTCCGCGTCACTTGACCATGGTTCAAAATTATGCGGACCGTCCCCAAAAGCCCTCGTGTAGCTGAACAGTGGGACGTTAATATTCACTCACTTACTTGATTCTGATAGATTTAACGTGCAACGAAGCCCTTGGGATTGTTAATGCAAGCAGGACTCGAACACGCAATTCCATTGAAACATCGTCTGCCGCGAGTTCGATGCCAAAATCAATCAGTATATTTTCTTTATCTTCACAGTTCATTCGGTCTTGTTGGACAGTTCATTAATGTCATACAAAAAGCAGCACGAAGGTTATTGGCGACGGACCTCGTAATTTTGAGCTTCCGTCAAGTGACGAGAACAATACTAGAGCTGGCACCTCCCCCCCTTCCTAAACTACCACATTACGCCAAATGGAGGACTTTGAGCCTCGACAGAATTAGTGCATCAGTCCCTCGAACGGCGGACTCGAACCCGCGATCTGCCGGCCATGAGTTCGTGACCATAACTACTAGGCTACTGCGGCCCCCCTCCTTCATCGTTATTGAAATGAAGTATGCTTCCTCTATTCTCTTATAATAGTCACCTGAATTATGTGGCTGGGTCTGAGTCAATAGCGTAACGTACACCCCCTCATTGTGGGGGGACCCAGGATTCTAGAAGGTCCCAAACCTATGTTGTCTTATGGTTTTGCACTCCTTTGTAAGATCCGGGTTGGGGCCCAAAACTTGACTTTGAAGGGAGGTCCTAATATTCTCCGTTACACCACTGGTCTCAGTCATGATTCCAACGAAAAGGGTGAGGAGTTTTGCTGAGATACAATGGAGGATATTCGTCAAAGAAATAATCTACAATAATCAAGGAAAAGTGATATTCGTCACTTATTCAACTTTTTAACACGCTTTTATAAGTTTCACTTCGATGTCATAGAATCTTTGAACTCGATTTTTACCTCCTTTAAAAAGGTCAGATTAATTCAAAATTTTGCATACTTGTGTCAAGGACTGATTACAATACAATAATTTCGTAATTTTGTTCCATTGTCCTTATGAGGATCATCAGGAATAACGATTTCCAGATTTGGTGACTAATTCCATATACCACTTCCAGATTTGGCAAATTATTGCATATACCATTTCTAGATTTGGCGACTAAAAGATCAATGTGCAATCCTAAATACACTTGTGGTTAATACAAATACAACAGCAAACAAAAGGTGTTCTTTATGTAAGAAAGGGGAGGGTGAGTGCGTCAGTAATTTCTTTCCGTAGTATGAACAATTGTCTAGTTTTTCTGAAATGGAAATTTAAAAAAAGACTCGTGCATGTGGGGAAAAAATTTATGTTCTAACTGCTAAATATTTTTTTTTATAAAGCAATACGTTTAGAAGTGATAATACAAATTAACATTATAGCAATACGTTTAAAAGGTGATAATAAAATTTACACTTAATAATTCTGCTTAACACTTTTATTAATTTCGCGTGCATTTATAAAGATGGAATTTTTGAAATATAACGACACGGAACTCATCCGAGGTCCCGTAAACGGGGAGAATAAATACCCTTCAAACCCGTTCATTAATATCCGTTGAAAGAGGTTGAAGACCGTAGTAGGCATGTCACGAGTTTGAGCCCACTACCACTAAAGACCCGCCGTATAGATGCACGTTAAATCTGTGGAGAGCTCAAACATCCCCCCGTTAGTGTGGTGTGGTAGTTAGGAAAGAGATGCCAGCTCAGGTGTCATCCTCGTCACTTGACCATGATTCAAAATTCCGAGGTCCATCGCCAAAAGCCCTCGTGTTGCTAAACAGTGCGACGTTAATATTCACTCATTCACCCACTCACTCACCTATTGAAGAGCAAGACTAATTCCAGCAGCTACTAATTCCGGTTCCAAATATCAAACTCAAGGATAAATTCAATAATAAATAAATGATAGTTTAAAAAACTAAACTAAAAAAAAACACGCGTTTATTGTAGATCGAACTAAAGAATGAAAAATAAATTATAGTTTTAAAAAAACTAAAAAACACGCTTTTATAGTGAATCGAATTAAAAAGTAAAAAAATAATTCTTAATATAAGAATAAAAAGATTTAGGAGAAAATTAATATTTCTTTATAGTAAAAGGCGTGGGGTGCTTTGTACTACATTTTTACACTAACACAGCATTTCGGAGTAGAACTAGTAAGAAAAATTATAACAATTAATATAGTTATAACAATTAATATAGTCAAATAATATAGTCTTGTAAATCATTTTATTCTTATATTAAGAATTTTTTTTAAAAACTTTTTAGTTCGATTCACTATAAAAGCGTGTTTTTTAGTCTTTTTAAAACTATAATTTATTTGAAAAGGTTAATTAAAAGCTAGAATTCATCACGTTACGAAAAATGCAAATTTTGCTCATAATAAACTCAACGTATTATAAAAATATTTGAAATAGCGAAGATTACACATTAAGCATTTTGGTATTCAAATTACTTATTTATAAGATTAAACATTTATTTCAATTTTAATTTAAAATTATTCAACATACTCCATAAAAAGAGACAATATTTCCGTCGTTTAATTTATTTTAGTCTGACTTCATGCATTGTTTTAAATCGAGATTATTCATACAACACGAGGAAAAGATGTGACCTTGGCTGAATTCGAAAATGAAAACGATTGGAAAATTCAATCTGGATATAAAAAAAAACATTCTTTTTCATATCACAAAACCTGAATCGGCTTGTGCTTTCATCTTTTTTTTTTTTTTATCTTATTTTTTTGTAGCGTTGATTTCTTTTGTACCAAGTATGACCAATAATATTCTTTTCTTTTCTTTTTTACAGCTGCAGAGTCATTCACTGTATACGTATTAAAGCAACCATAAAGACAAAACACAAAATTCAATGTTCATGACAATGGTCCGGTGTTTTTTTTTTAATCCTTTTCTCAAAATGTACTTTTTTTTAAAGATGAAGTTGTGTTAAGCAAACGAATTAAAGTTACAATTAAATGAGAACGATATATTATATCCGGAAAGTATTTTGAAATAATAATGAATTGAATAAGAAGTGTTTAGATGTTCTAAAAGAAATACACTTGAGAGAAAAAAGTGTTTTGTTGTCTCAGTAAGTCAGAAATAATCTAGAGAATTGTTTACTTGTCCGTAGAGCTAGAATTCCACGAGAATTTCCTTTATTTATCATAATTAAATGTTTTAAAACTTTTTTACGTCCATTTAGTAAGTAATCTGTTTTCTCAACTACTCATTAAATTCTATTTGTCATGACTTAACAAAAGGCAAAAGTCATAACATTACAGTCATTCAAAATCCTTATAATGAGAGGTTAAAGCTCGAAAAAGCTAGGCACTCTGGTCACCCCCCCCCCCCCAATGACTATTTGTCATGACTAATGTTCTCGAGATTAATAATTATGCAACACAATAAAGCTATTAGAAAATAATATTAAAAAAATTTTTAAATCAATTTTTTTTTAGGTCAACAACGAAAAGTTTTATTTTAGTTATTTTTTATCAAATGGTTACAATTAATATAAATATTTGTATACATGTATGGTTGTGGCCCTGAGCTCTAGGGGTATTATAATGATGACACTGGTTTTGACTAAAACTAACGTTTAATGGTGGACTGCACACTAATGGACGAACACACGGGTATATAATTGATAACGTTTAGACAAACACTTCTTGCGCTTAACAATAGTTTCAGCTCTTGAATTCACACATCACAGTCATCACACAACAGTTCACTATGGTTCCTACGTAATTCCCAACGGCTTATGGATTTCAGGTGATGGATGTATGACCTTCGCGTCACTCTCCTTCTAGCATTGGACAGCTGGTCCCTTCTCGGCCAGTTCCAACACCTCCTAGATAATCTAGGAGGTGCTGCCAGTAGTTCCCGATTGCTCAGATATTTTCTAGCAGCGTTGGACCTCCGACCTGTACGTCGCATCTCCTCACTTGCTCGCCCGCTCCTCTGGTTAGTTCATTCTGGTGGCTCGCGTAGCCAGCACCCTCTAGAAAGTGGTCTATGTAAAAAATCCCACATACATGTGACAGAATCACAATATTAAGTGACAAAATAGAAAGCGATTTTCCTTGCAATTTTCCTTTCTGTATTTGGTTTCGGACTATTTTTTAATGTAAAGTGTTAAACTTATTTTTGTTTGTTACTATTTATTCATTAATTAAAGTTAATTATACTAGTATTTTTAGTACTGTTAAAAAGGAATCACATTCTCTGAAATTAGGCCATCCCAGATGTGATTTGAACTCACGGCCTTTGGATTAAGTCCAACGAGCTATCCATTGCGCTACAGGGACCCAATGAACGATTTTCCTTTCTTTGTATGCTGTTGGACTATTATTTTGTTTCTTACTATTTATTCATTTTTAAATTTAATAATGAATGAATATTTGAAAAATCTATTACCCAAGTGTCATCTGCTACAAGTTTAGGAAAATTTATTTGAACTTGAATGGATGAATAGAAAGTATTTTATTAACAATTGAAAATTTGAACAAGATATATACACTCTATAACAAACAAACAAAAACAAAAAACGATGCACCAAGAACGAGACAGTAATTGGTGGATAGAAAGATTATGTACAAAATAGAAAACGATTAAAATTTCAGAAAATTTCAGTAATTAATTTCAGATTTATACATAGTTACAAAGTAACGAGCTCAATGAGCTCCACCCCTAGCCTGAATGCAAGCTGTCACACGACGTGGCATAGAGTTATAATGCCCTCTGATGATCTCCTGTGGTATTTCTTACTAAATTTGCTTCAATTATCGGGCCAGGTCATCACCATTCTCTGGTAGATGCAGTGGCCCCATCCTATCCCAGACATGCTCGATTGAAGAGAGATCTGGCGATCTGGATGTTCAAGGAAATGTTTGACAAACTGTAAAACAGTTCATAGCAACACGTGCCGTATTTGGTCTGGCATTATCTTGAGGGAAAATAAGGCCAGGGTTCTGCAAAAGGAACAGTAGCAAAAAAAATTTCAGAATGTCGTCGACATACCGCAGTAAGTGTGCTTCTAATGACGACCAAAAGGGTCCGGCTGTTAAAAGAAATGGCATCCCAGACCATAACTCCTGGTTGAGGGCTAGTGTGGTGTGCAATAGTGAAAGCGGGATCGGTGCGCTGCCCTGGGCGTCTCCAGACACGCCTTCGATTATCGTCAGGGCACAGTTGGAAGCGGGATTCGTCGCTAAACACTAAACGTACCCAGTCAGTATGATTCCAACCTGATCGAACGAAGCACCACAGTAATCTAGCTCGACAGCGAGTAGCAGATGGTGTAGTGGTCGGTACGAGTGTAAATTTCACTCTCTCAGCCGTCTGTGAATAGTCATGGGGGCCAATCTAATGGTTGATAACTATGGATCAGGCGCTGTGACAGCTGATCTAGCAATCCTTCTGATGTGCTGTAGTCCTACGTCGACCGCCACCAACAAGACGCCATTGTCCACCCATTCTTTTCAGCATCTTCTAATGGTCGCATCGCTTCGACCCGTATGTCGAGCGATTCTCCGATTTTGGACGTTGGATTCAGTCGTTGAAAGGTGTCCTAAATCGAAAAGTAACAGAAATTTGCGTTATGGATGGTCGTTCTAAATTATCCGGCAAAGTTACAGTAATTTCTCAGATCAGATATCATGTTTGAATTACCCGTTTTGAAATTCGCCAGGGACCAAGTTTTCACCCTCCAAGGCTTTTAAGGTAAGCCTCTGCCACGGTGTATCTAAAATACGGTCGACCTGCATTATCCAGCAAAGTTACGGATATTTTTGGGAACCAATTCAAAAATCAGATTCCATGCCCCGAACTTGCACTCCTTTTTCGTGCATTTTAGGCTAAAAATTCGCTTCCTCAGACACACGCGCATTGCGACATTTTACGAATTTTCCGGTTTCCCGGATTTTTCACATTTCCGGCAATAAAACAATAAGGACGTCATTAATTGAGATAAAAACTATCCTATATTTTAAGTTGGATGAAAGGACACACAATATGCAAAATAAGATTATGATAGGTTGTGTAGTTTCGGAGTCCATCGCGGACAAACAACGTGTCACGCAATTTTTATACACTTACTTCCAAAAGTTAAGCACGGAGATGTAAAATGCAATTAATCAACAAATACTGCTTTGATTGACACAAAATTTGGCAGTAAAGTAGCATATATATTTATACATAAAACAAAATTAATAATTATAAACAGAAATGAAAACAATATTAAATTTTTGTAAGTTATCAGATAATGTCATACTGGAGACTTAAACAGAATTATGTATAAAGTGAAAATAAGCAGCATAAAATGAAAAAAAGGACATTAGTAGAGTATGTGATCCCCCCCTCATCTGTATGCAAAGTTTACACCTTCTGACCATGCTTTCAATTAGGTGGTCAACCACCACAGAATTAAGCAATCGCCATTCTTCTTGTAGAGCAGTTTCCAGCTCAATAAGAGTGGCAGGAGGTGGGAAACGTGAACATACAACACGGCCGAGAGAATTCCGAAGATTTTCAATGGGATTAAGGTCGGGCGAATATGCTGGCCACGCCATACGCGCAATCCCTTCACTCTTTAGGTAGTCATCGACGATGTCAGCTCTATGGGGACGTGCGTTATCGTCCATTAAAACAAAAGTAGGGCCAACTGCTGCAGCGTACAATCTCACAAAGGGTTCTAGGACTTTATCTCGATACCGGAGAGCCGTCACAGAACCCAGGTCGGTGCGGTATCCTAATGAAATCTCTGCCCACACCATAATGCTTCCGCCTCGGAATGCGTGATGTTCAGTGATGTTTTGGGGCTAATTGCGTGTTCCTTGTTTATGCCATATTCTTATACGCTTGTCATCTGGCTCCAGAGCACATCTTGACTCATCAGTAAACATGACATTGCCCCAGTCAGACACAGTCCAATTACCATATTCCCGGCACCACTTTAATCGTGCCCCTTTTGATTGGACGGATAGAGGAACACAAACTCGAGGCGACCGCAGACAACTGTCTGTGTGGTTTGGAATTGCTTCCATAAACGTGAAATTATAGAGTGATGAACGCCGAAGAAAAGAGCAACATCTGTGATCGACTGTCCTTCAATGCGCCGCACAGCACGCCAGCGCTCAGGATCTTCCATTCGTTTTCTGGAAGTCATAGAAACACGTATGTCTTGAAAACAAATTGTACGAAAATTTTAAACACCTTCTATCAGCACTTACAATCAACTTCTGTAACCCTTCATAAAGCTGGCTTCTTATAAGACTGCCCCTTTTGCATATTTCTTGACATGGAAGCACGATTGGCTGTTACCTATTTGCATACTTCCATCTACCTCTGCAGCGAATTGCATCTCTTCAATTCAGAATGGCTTCCGGAAATTAGCATTTTCCTCTCCGCGCTTAACTTTTGGAAGTGAGTGTATATTGATATAGGAAGAGAGTGAACTAATAGTAGGAATTGTGAAAAAGTTGTCCTGGATGCACGCAGAATACATGTATGTTATAACAATACATGAAATGAGAAAACTGCTATATCACAAAAAATTACAGATATTTTATGTTTAAAATATAGTAAAACAAATGCACACGTTAATAGGAGTACAGAAATACAATATATAGTTTTCAGTTTAAAATGTAATCTTGACTAAATTTCATGTAACAGTAATAGAATGGAGAATTGCTTGCCGAATATTTTATGCATTTTTCATTAAATACTCTAAGCATAGATATTTTCATCTATAACTTTCTTTTACAGTTGTTAGTTAATTATAGAAATTAGGAACATTTTCTAGGAAGAGAAACAGGAATCAATCAATGGAATTTTAAAAATATAAAAGATATGAATTCAAAATGAGGACTTAGAATTATTTGTTTGCTATCATTCGAAATCTTATGTCAGGTTGAAGAAACATTTAGAAGAAAATAAAACAAAGGAGAAAGCTATAAATATTTTTTGTAATAGAGCATATATATTTTATGACTTAAAAATATTGACATCCTTTGAAGAAAATTATTCAATTCAAATAAAGATAAACTAGGATATAATCATGACATATACTATTGATATGTTATAGTTAACGTGTTTTTTCTTATTTCATAGTATATTTTTTATTAAAATTGATCTTTTTATTTTCAATATACAAATAAAGTAGTACAGACTATAAATATGGTATATTTGATAATTTTCATAGAATTTTCAAAGTCATAGATATTTAAAATAAAGCCCCAGTATAAGAGCATTCTACAATTGTTTTTTTAAACTTCATTTTATAAAGATTTTTTCCGTTTCCCTTTTTTACTATTTTTATCATTGAACTCCCCCCCCCCTCCCTTCCTTTTCACTGACAGGATTTCAGTTACATATCAGACGAATTTCATAATAATCGTTACAAGACACAGATAATCAGCTTCTGTTGCATAAACTGAAAACTTTATAAATGTGAAACAAGAAAATTCTGATTGAAACGGGAATGGTGATAAAAGAACAAATATTTTAGATTAGAGTTAAGAATATGTAGTTCGTTTATTTGTTTTTAAAGACTCTGTAATATACTCTCCGCGCTGCGAGCCTAAACGTGAAGGAGGATTGGAAGGAACACTAGCCATAGTACAACCAAATATCTAATTTTTTCACAATATTAATTACCATACTAATGCAATCGATCCAAACCAAGAGATGTCCTCAAATAATCACTAAGCCGACAATAAACAAGGTAAGTAAAATATGAGAAAACAGTTATACCAACCACACTTACTCAAGGCCGTACGCAAGCGATTTTAATGTATTGACTTTTTGGATGTTTTCAACGAACTTTTATTTTAAAAGAAGAAAAATCCTTCCTTCGTAATAAATCCTTCAAAGTATGTGCCAGAATTCACGTTTCCGAAAATTTACATTCACTCATTGGGGTGTCTGAATGCATACGATCATCAAGTTTTTCCTCCGGGCATAAAAAATAGGTGACGATCAGGTGCAGTATACGAATTATTTTTCCCTCTCATTTTTCAAACAAACAAATAGAAAGTGCACTGGCCACGTGCTTACGACAAAGACAACTCGGCTCTTGCGTTTACCATAGATGATATAATGGTAATTATTGATTGACAGAAAAAAAAAAAAAGAACGAAGAGTTTCGAATAAAAGATGGCATCTAGGATAGCGGTCGCAAAACTTCAGAACTTCGCGGACTGCTAAATGTATAATTTTATATTTGGTGGTCCACTCATATGATTGACCGCTCTATGGTGGACCCCTATAACTATATTGCTTACGTCTCTATTTATATTTCCATATCACT